ATACTGCTACAACCAGAGTAGGGAAGCCCCAAAACTGCTGTCAAAAATTAATAACCTGATTTAGAAAATTCAGAATATTACATTTTGATTCTGGCTTCTCCGAAAGCTAAGAGAATGCCTTCTTCTGGTGATCCTTCTGTAGATTTGGCACAATCAACTGTTAACAATTATCCATAAAAGCTTTAAGAAATCTTGTTTCTCCCAAACACCTTATTTTCATTTTATGCCATAGGAAAGATTTCTCACTGTTACCAAAACATTTGGTCCTTTAAGCCCACTGAGAACTTAAGCGCTCTCATTTTCCTTGGCTGTAGTACAAGAGCACATACTCTGCCTCATATATTATTTTATTAAAATTATTATTATATTGCTCTATTTTATTATATATTATTTTAATTGAGGACTTAAAAGAACTTAGATATGAGTTGTGATTGCTATACTAAGAAAAATCACCATGAATAAATTGCAGTAGCCAAGCCAGACTGGAATTTGGTTTATATGCCTCTACTTTGATGTGCTACATTACTGCAGTGATTCCTGGGATTTACCATTCCTCCACTTGGTCTGAAAGTTGCTGAACTAATGCAGGGTGATAGCCTATCAAGGAACAATGTCAGAATAAAATATCAGAAGACTTTACCAATGATGCTGTTGAAAGCTCATATGAGAATTCAGAGTTTCCAGTAAATATGAATTAGCACTTACATTTGTCATGTCTCAGTTTGTGCACTGGATAGAAGACACTGTAGTTTGGAAGTCTGGCTCACATTTCCCATCATGTTAGAGACATTTTAACACAGAAACTTCAAACATCAGCTGCCCTGGTAAAATATGATATTGATTAGTCCTAGCAGATAGAAAATTAATAGTACAGATTAAAAGTGTGATATTATCTGCTAAGTATTCCTGACCAGGGGATAGTCATTTGCTCAAGGTGAAGCTGAGGAACTCAGCCTAATCATTGCTTCTATAAAGTATCCTTTCTAATGTTTAAAACAGTGAAAATAAACAAAGCAGTATAGAAAACATTTTTTAAATGGATGAGTCCCTTTTCTTAGCCAGCCACATTTTTGAGTCGTCACAGCACTAACTGTAATAGCTGTGATAACAAGGCGCTGAAGACCGCTCAGGAGAGGCTCTGAAAGAGGGGAGCTCTTTATTAATACACCTAAGTCTTCCCTGACTGCAGCTCTGCCTGTCTATCTGAATTTGTGCATCTGTAGAAGATCTAGCATGAACTACTAGCTGTTCTGAAATACAGCTCGTCACTACTGCTGTAGACACTGGAGTAAGGGAGGCTAAGGTTGCTAATATGTTACAAAAAGCTTGAGAGAGCCTTATATAAAAAAAAAATACAGTTCCATAACTGTATAATTTCAATACTACCTCTTTGTTATTTTGGCTTCTAGCATGAAGACAGGATTTGTATTTTTGATTACTAGTTCATCTGCTCTTACTGATGTTTCCTCACCAGAAGCAAAATCCTCTACTTGTGACTTCACAGTTGAATACCAAGAAAAACTAATTGTTCTGTCATCACAAGCAGAGGACTATGGCTCCAGTACGGAATAAGCAGCAGGTGCTTATGAACTGCTAAGAGAGATCCTGTTTTGTGTTATTTTCCAAATGTTTTAAATAAAAAAGAACATAAACACAAGCAGAAAATAACTGAGCTAGCAGCAGAGCAGTTTATAAATAGAATGATAGTGCTGGATAGGTCATTACTTCTTCAAGTACTAAGCAGATCCCAAAAGCTGACATATGGAAATTGGTATTTTTAAGGGTTGGTAGACTGTTATTCTTGGGGCTAGGTCACTCTGAGTTTCAGAGAATACAGCCAATCATTTAGCAGAGAAAAGGAGCAGAAAAAGGAAGAAGTCAATTCATGATTATCACCTCTAAGCTCTACGACAAGAAAAATATTATAATAAGAATAAAAGTAACTGAGAGTTAAGGGGTTATGTGTCAAGCAGCTGGAAGAAGAGTTGCGCTGAGAAAAAGAAAGGTGAGAATTTGAAGGGAGAGATGAAATGGCTGATGCTGGAGATAAGGGAAGATTATCTGGATATGACTGTCAACTTCCTAAATTCCTCAACACAGCTTAGGATAATTGTGACCCTGCAATCCATGAGTAAAGAAGTCAATGAGGATAAAAGGCCTACAATAAACTTCACATTATGAAATGAGAGGAAAAAAACTATGAGTTTAGCTGTGCATTAGAATATCACATGTAGGTTCAGGCAAAGTCCCATGGAGATATTAAATAACTTTCCTTTTCCATAGCCTGCCAACAACCTTTGCAACTCTGGATATTGATGGCGTAAGAAAAATAATCTTTGCACTCCCAGGTAAGATATTTTGTGATGATTTTTGTTGCTGTGCACAGTTGACAACAAACATGAAAAAAATGTGGTGTTTCACAATAGCCATGCCTGGTATTGGCATCCAAGTACCTGTAAGGTTTTCCCAGAAATTTCCAGAAGAAAGAGAGAGGTACTAAAGAGTTCTTACCCCATCCTGAGAATTTGCTGTGGTAAAGGTCTTACAGTTTTTTCCGTCCAACAATTTCCTTGTTTTTTGCAAGCGATACCATACAGCGGGGTTTTCCTACAGTTCCTTCCATCTTCTAAATAGATATTCTGTGCAGGTGGGTCAGTACATCCCTTCTGAAGTATTGAAAATTGAGAAAAAAATGGAGAGTCCAAGAATATGTAACAGAATTAAGGGATTTTTTAATCATGCTTACACTGTGGAACCAAAAGAGGGCAGTATTGCTTCACCTCCTGAGTGCTGGGGCACCTTGAAAAATCACTGAATTCAGAATGAGGATTTCGTTGGGAATCTGGCTAGAAACCTCTGTCCTCTTCAGTTAGGAGGAATTTTTTCTATTCTTACTGCCCTGGATTTGCATGGTTTTCTAACTACACAAGGGCTCCTGTTCTTGATAATCTGATGTTTTTCAGGTATCTCTCTAGTGCTTTTTTCTCTCCTGTTTTGGTTGCTGCAGTACCTTTTTCCAGGAGAGTGATGAACGGAGCATCTATCTAATCGTATCATTTATTTTTGAGCTGGCATCTAGGGAAATCCAGATGCTAAGATGAATGTTGTTTGATAGAAGTTGGTCATACACCTCTCGTGTGTGTCAGGAGAAAACCTATAAGTCAGTAGAATTCTCCTTAGAATTTGTACTAAAACATTTTGATGGTCTGTCAGGGAACACAAAGTTATTTAATGTTACCTGTTCTTGCATAGCTCTTGGAAACCTTAATCATGGATCAAGAGCCCTATCAGCTAGGACCTACACCTGTGCACAGTAAGCCCTGTTCCTGCCCCACACAAATCTACAGGAGTGTGTAAGACAAGACAACAGAGGAATGGGCAGAGGGGCCTAAGGACCACGGGACAGTTCTGGCTAGAGCAGGATTGCAGCACATCATCAGCCAGATAATATAGCTTTGAACAGTTACACAGTGGCACGTTCCACTGCAGACTTAGGTGAAACGTTTCCTGTACCTAGCACGAAAAGCTTTTTAGACTCCTTTGGAGGGTAACTGTTATAAAAATACAAGTTTGCTTTCAGCATATACAGAGTGAGTCACCTCTGACTGTTCTTTGCTCTTCAGGCAACCCTGTGTCAGCTGTTGTTACCTGCAATCTCTTTGTTGTTCCTGCACTGAGGAAAATGCAGGGTATCCTGGATCCTCGGCCCACCATTATCAAAGCCAGGGTAAGAAACATGTCCCATATTTAAAAATTTTTGTCATAATGTTGAAACACTTCTGTGTGAGCTCTGAAAAACTGTCTCATTTGGGGAATCTCAACCTTAGACTAATTTTGATAAGTTGAAAGAAATTCTCAGTAAAGAAAGGTACATTCTGGACCTCTGTTAATGTTAATGTTCAGTCCTATAATTTCTCAGAGTTAGATGGCCATCTAATGGATCAAGATGTACATATACACAGGCAGCCATTTCCTGATCAGGCAGGAAGGACACTTTGCTAGATAACGGTCCTTTGGCAAAAAACATAGGATGTCTAAATATCTGGGAAATACCTAGAGTTAGGTAGTTCTGTATCACCAGCTAGGAAATATAAACTTCAAAGCCTGTCCTTTCTGTTCTTGAGTTGATTGCTTGTATGAGTAACCCGCATGACCCCCACTCTAACCCATGTAAGTCCCTTAAACTATTCATTCCACTTGGATAAGAAATCCTGGATATACTAAAATTATTTTATGTAGATTCAAGGTATATTGTTATAATGTTACTTTCCTAGTTTTGCTTCAAGAAAAGTACCAAAGAACGGATTACCTTTTATAATTTTCCCAACATTCTTGGCTATGCACAGACTTTTCTCTTACTACTCATCCCCTGCGTCTCTCTTTTACACTTCTTCAGCAGTCCAAATTCTTCTTTATTTCAGGACTAAAATATTCTAAAACAGACAGTGATTTACAGTGTTTCAGTTTGGGGGCTTCTCAACATGATCCTCACTATTGCATGAATTTTCAGATATGCTTCCAAAAAATTCCGTTGTAAGCCATCCCAAGTATTTCTTTCCATGTCAAAGGTTGACCATTTCCCTTCTGTTAGGCCTAACAGGATTTTGAATGTGAATAAAAGTTTTATCTTTATGCAGTGTAATCCAGAGACCAGAAAGTATAAAGCTTTTTCAGGGAGATACTATGTTTAAACTCTCAGTAAAGAAACAACTTTGGAATATTCAGCTTACTACTTGCATTCTCCAACAAACTCTTTGATATTATAATATCATAATTATAATTCCCTTAAATACTACAGTCTCTTGCTCCTACCCCTTTTGATCTTGTCTTCAACACTCTCTGACCTCAAAATGCAAATTTAAAAAAAACCCTGTTATTACGAAAAAACAATTGAACTTATAATGAACAGATAATTGAACAATAATTCCATTATCTTAGCTAGTGAAATCTGAATGCATGACATTTTCATCCTTTCTTTGTTTCTTCTACAGTTATCATGTGATGTAAAATTGGACCCCCGCCCAGAATACCATCGGTGCATACTGACCTGGCATCACCAAGAACCACTACCTTGGGCACAGAGTACAGGTTAGTGCCCAGTCCCACAGAATGACGGACTCATTCGCAGATCCTTACCTTCCTACACAAAGGCTTTAAAGTAGCCCAGCACAGGCACATGTTTTTTCATATCAGCTTCCTTAGGCAGACTGATGTGCTGACGAATTATTGCACATGCATACATGTACATTAGTATATCACATGATCACAGAATGGTTGAGGTTGGAATGGACCTCCGGAGATCATCTAGTCCAACCTCCCTGCTCAAGCAGGGTCCTCTAGAGCACGTTGCACAGGATTGTCTCCAGACAGCTTTTGAATATCTCCAGCGAAGGAGACTCCACTACCTCTCTGGGCAACCTCTTCCAGTGGTTCTTCCTCTGTCACCTTCACAGTAAAGAAGTTTTTCCTCAGGTTCAGATGGAACTGCCTGTGTTTCAGTTTGTGCCTGTTGCCTCTCGTCCTATCGCTGGGCACCACGGAGAAGAGTCTGACCTCATCTTCTTGACACCCTCCCTTCAGATACTTATACACATGGATCAGATCCCCCCTCAGTCTTCTCTTCTCCAGGCTGCACAGTCCCAAATCTCTCAGCCTTTCTTCATAGGAGAGATGCTCCAGTCCCTTAATCATCTTAGTAGCCCTCCGCTGCACTCGCTCCAGGAGCTCCATGTCTCTCTTGTACTGGGGAGCCCTGAACTGGACACACAACTCCAGATGTGGCCTCACCAGGGCTGAGTAGAGGAGGAAGATTACCTCCCTTGACCTGCTGGCAACAGTCTTCCTAATGCACCCCAGCATACCACTGGCCTTCTTGGCCACAGGGGCACATTGCTGGCTCATGCTCAACTTGTTGTCCACCAGCACTCCCAGGTCCTTCTCGGCAGAGCTGCTTTCCAGCCTGTCCTGGGGCAGGGGGTTCTTCCTCCCTAGGTGCAGGACCCTGCACTTGCCTTTGCTGAACTTCAGGAGGTTCCTCTCTGCCCACGCTAGCTACAGGCCTCCAACTAGACTCTGTGCCATTGATCACAACCCTCTGAGCTCTGCCATCCAGCCAGTTCTCAATCCACCTCACCGTCCACTCATCCAGCCCGCGCTTCCTGAGCTTGCCTATGAGGATGTGATGGGAGACAGTGTCAAAAGCCTTGCTGAAGTCAAGGTGGACAACACCGACTGCTCTGCCCTCATCTATCCAGCCAGTTGTCCCACTGTAGAAGGCTATCAGGTTGGTTAAGCATGATTTCCTTTTAGTGAATCTGTGCTGACTACTCCTGATCACCTTCTTGTCCTCCACATGCTTAGAGATGGCCTCCAGGGTGAGCTGTTCCATCACATTTCCAGGTGAAGCTGACAGGCCTGTAGTTCCTTGGGTCTTCGTTCTTGCCCTTTTTGAAGAGTGGAGTGATAGTTGCTTTCTTCCAGTCCTCAGGCGCCTCTCCTGATTGGCATGACCTTTCAAAGATGATCAGGATTGACCTAGCAATGATGTCTGCCAGCTCCCTCAGCACTTGTAGGTGCATCCCATCAGGGCCCTTGGACTTGTGGGTGTCAAGTTTGCCTAAATGATCTCTAACCTGATCCACCTCAACCAAGGGAAAGTCTTTCTTTCTCTAGACTTTCTCCCTGGTCTCCAGGGTCAGGGATTCCTGAGTATAAAATTCACTCATGATGAGACTCACCAACTTAATCATTAAAGTTTTAGCTGAATAACCTGCCTTTATATTCACCTACACAAAAATGCATCTACATGCCTGCATAGGTACACACGTTCCTTTTTACACACATTCATCCAAACTTACTTGCACTCAGTTATGCACAGGTGCATTTGCTTACTTTTACTCTTGCACAGGCACTAAGCAAACACAAGTTAGGACCTAAGTAGGAGCAACTCACATAAATGCAATTCTAGCTGAATTGGAAAACTAGGAAAAAAAAAGCAAAGGCAATATATGTTCTATTGAAGTACACTAAGTACTTTAGTATTTGTTTGCCATCTAGGGATACTTTTGGATACTCAGCTGCAGTTGAGGTAAATACTATATTTGAATACTTTTTCCATCTGCATGCTGCTAGAAGACTGACTCTGACAGTTGTTTAAGAGATTCAGGTCCTTAAACAACTAATTGACAGGCATTATACACAAGCGTCCTTAGGAGACGCATTGGCACAGAATGCATCTTACCATTTACTTAGAGAAAATTCTTACCATTGACTCCCAAGATCACTCAGTCTCTGATACATCTGCAGATGTGATTCAGGGTGTTACCTTTACCTATAAAACTGTATTTGGTTTAACTGTTTTTTTGTGTTGTGCACCACTTTTTTCTTCATGCAAGCAAGATTGTCTGGAATGATTTCCTTGTCAATATGAAAGTTTGAAAACCAAGAAACTAAAGGGCAATACTTTCTGTTGCATTTTCATTTTTTGTCAGTACTACCAAGATGATACTGTTTATCTTCAGGACATGTTGTAAAGTGCAATGTCCCAAAGAAACCCATTCTTTTGAATTGATACATTAAAAAAGATTCTGCATTGTGCTGGGTTTTGTTTTTGCATAATCTGAATTAAATGTACAAATTGAAAATTAAACTATTTTTGATAGGATTAGAAATTCCAATGGAAAAGCAATTTATTATGAAAAGATGTAGAAGCATGGATAAAAGCCTGAGGGGGAAAATGTGAAAGGTTGGCTAGGAAAGTAATCAGCAGAGGGAATAAGACTTTTGAGAGCGTGAACAATGAGAGGCTGACTCTACATAGTTCTGTGTTTCCATCTAGTAACCTTTGAACAGCTAGATCCTAGTGCTATGAATAAGTTAGCAACATGAATATCTTCCTAAGAACAGCTCTTGTTTCTCTCGTGTTCTGTTGCAGCCTTTGGAACAAATTGAAATATTAACTGGAATTTTTTTTTCACTCTCCTGTAGGGAATCAGATGAGTAGTCGTCTGATGAGTATGCGCAGTGCCAATGGACTGTTGATGCTACCTCCAAAGACAGAGCAGTATGTGGAGCTTCACAAGGGGGAGGTGGTGGATGTCATGGTCATTGGGAGGCTATGATGTCACCAGCAAGAGCGAAGCTTTGATGCATGTCCACATATCATTGACTGTATCCTGTAATATGCAATGGCACAGCTAGTTTTTCTGATTTGGATAAAAGTTGATCAGTATAGTCAACATCTTGAACTATATTTCAAATGGAATTTAAATAAATACCTTTTAAAAAAAAACTTTAAAAGCAAATCTTAACAAAGAAATTTATTCTGATTATATCAAAGCAACTTTTTCCTTTCCTTGCAATTGCTTTGTGTGTTCAATGCTAGTTCTAATAGCGGTAGCTTTTAGTAGACAGCAGTAGGTGCCTGCAGAACTTGTGTTTTTTCTCATCTTTAAGATACAACTACTTATGCTCTTAAAACAAGGCTGTCTGCTTATTTATACTAGCGTAGACAACACTTGGATTTCCCTTATTAGTATGCTTCATAACCGCTTCACTGAGCGCTTCTGCTTGTTCTTTATCTTGTATCTCGTGTTGATGTGCACAGTGCCAAAAGCAGAGTGGCTGCACTGGGAACCCGATGAAGCCCCGAGGTTTTCCCACCTCGCTGTGCGTTCAGGGATCTCTCTTGTCCCAGCAGCCACCCAGCTCAGTACTCTTGGGCAGTAACTGGATACCTTTTCTTTCAACAAACAAAAAAAATTGCTTCCTCAAGTGCTGACAGCCTTTTTAACCAATACATTTAAAAATGTACAGAACTAAAAACTAAAAAAAAAATCAAAGACTGATCTTGTACAGATATTAGTGTTACCAGCATTCGTGTGGAAATTAAATGAACAAAGAAATAAAACTAATGTTAAACAACTCTGTACCATAACATTTTCTGTAATGATATTGAAACTTAAATGAATAAAAAAAATCCTCAATCATTATTTAAAATTTCACCAGTTTAGCCTTGTTGTTTGAACCAAAAAATATATTGTTTTAAGAGGGTATTTAGGGTGGGGGAAGAGGACAGGAAGGAAGCAAAACAGTATTTGTAATCTAGAGTATTTCCTAATATGCAGTAGAATGACTGAACTGAAAATATAAAATGAGCTCTCTCACATTCATCTCACAAGAGATGCAGCATTTGGGGTGGGGGGAGGGGGTTAATTGGCCTAGGCAAAGCTGGAGAATACCTTTTTCCCATTTAAATTGCACGGCGATTGCAAACAGCCCTTGTGCTGCACTGTGTTGCCTAAGATTCTCTTTTCGATACTGTGACTATTCAGCCCTTGCCAGATTATGTACTTTGGTAATTCCGTGTTTCGTCTGGGATTCACACCATATCAGCATCCTCCAGCACCTCAGTTCTTGGAGTTCATGGGTTAAATGCTATCCTGTCAACTGCATTCATGAAGTCAGAACATGTGTCTATAGCATTTTTGGAAGACTTAGTCAGGGACAAGGACACAAATCTGGATTCAAGTCCTGAATGCCACAGTGGAGCAGATTTGTAGTTCCCTGAAAACTGCAGACAGCAGCACCCCTGGAGCTGGTTTTAAGACCAAATTCTTTGCCTGGCAACAGCCTCAATACAACCTACAGAGGCCATTACAAGGGTAGAAGGCAGGTGAGCATACAGCAAGTTCAAAGGCACTCCAGTGACTGCTCTTTCAGAAAAATGTTAACACAACTTGTTGATCGTATTTCTTTGTTCTGGACTACAAGTCAGTTCTTGTAAAATGAATCTAATCTCTCTATGAAGTAGCGGGATGGTATCAAATTAAATTCATGAATGCCTGTATTTACTGTACAAGTATTACATAGCTAGTAGTTACTACGGGCAAATACCAGGCAGCATATGCAAAAAAAATTGGAAACTCATAAAGGACACTGGTAACCACAATCAGAGGAAAGATTGTGCATGCAATCAGAGATATTAGACGAAGATAAAAGAGAGATGCAAGGAAACCTAAGCATCAATATCTTGAGTCTGTTTTACATTAAAATATTACCCAGTATTAATGTGGCTGAGAAGTATTAGTATATGCTTACACATACATATATGCTGTATACTATGTATGGATCTATTTAAACCATATCTCAGCATCATGCTGCTTAACCATCATCGTAATGAATAAAGCATTTGGAGGTTAAAACAATCAAGATAAACATTTTCCAGATAAAAACCCTATCACAGATAATATTAATTGCTTTAGCCACCGTACTGTGTTTAGTAATGCCCTGTGTCCAGTGTTGGAAGTTTTATGCAACAAAATAAGCTTTGCAGTTTCTGAGAGAGATACACACAGTCAAGCCAAGTGTTAACACTGGAACCAATAGCAATATGTTGGAGCTGTAACTGTGGGAGCAGTTTAAATTTAAATCATAATTACAACTAGGTCTTGATTATCAAACATAAAATTTACTGTCTGAAGAATTGGCTTTGGTTATTATAAAATAAAACGGATGATTTCAAATCATTTTTTATTGAACATTCCCAAATTACTATTTAAGAGAAGGCTGGAAGCTTCAGAAAATAAATCAAGGACAGATGGATCAGACTCCTCTTCAGGCATTTGATTGCTTTGGTTCAAGGACTGAAACTTGTGAATGGAAATATTTTAAGGAATATTTTCACTATTTTTATTTGTCTAGCTAAGGCTTATCAAAATAGTAACTTACTTAACAACCAGAAGCAATGCCAGCAATGACTGAAGAGTAAGGCTGGTTCTCCAGCATCTGTAGTTTTCTCCTTTTTACATAATTTTCTTCAGTACCTATACATAGTGATGATCATGGGTAGAAGCATAGGCAGTGGTCCTTCTAAGTCCCATTCGTCTAGCTGGGATAATACTACAATGATCTGCTAATCCTACAATGACCTGTGTGACCTGGTTAGCTCGTACCAGAACCTTGACTGTAGCCCTGGATGTGAAACCTTATACAACTGCATTCAACCAGCCAGCTAGAAGAATAGACCGGCCCTTACCAAGTACTAATTTCAAAACTTTAATTACAGAAATCATAACCTTACATCACGTAAGAAAGATGAACTGTCTTTGATCTCCTTAGTAGTTATTAGAGAACTGTATGACTCAGAAATTGCTAATTAGCATGGAATCTTTAGCTTTTTTGATTCTTGGGCTGAAGGGTTGCACTTAAAACATATTACAAAATGGATTCTGCTTTGAGGCGATATGCAACTGGAATTATTCTGTAGGCTCTCTCTTTGCCCTCCTCATCTTGCCACTCCTGCAGTATGTGCTAAAGGTTGCCTTTTTTGACTTGTCTAAGTCCTAAAGAAGCGCCACTTGCCTCACGACCAATAAAGATGGTCTTCAGGCCACGGGGAGTCTGCACATACCCTGCACTGATGACAGAAGTTGCCACTATAGTGACCGTATTTATCATTTCTTTCCATTTACCTTGGTTCCAAGTCTGCCAACGTCACAATGGCAGGTGCCAGCCTCGTATCCTTTGTACGACAGCAATGTGAAGAGCCTGCCCTGAGTCACGCTCAGGAAAGCTCTCCAGCCTGATGAGACCTGTGTCAGCGCTTGCAGGGCAGGAACTACATCTGGAGGTTGAGACTTTATGATGAGACATCTTATTTCACAACTGATTTGGAAACGAGATACCAGGCTAAAATGGTGCAGTCCGGCACTTCCTATTGCTATTATGGTCTAATACTCAGCTTCTCAAAACAGCACCATCAGGTGAACTGTTTGTAGGGTTTTGTGTTGGGTAAGAGAATTATACATTAAAACAAAACTAAAGAAGCACCGCACAGTTGTGATTTCTTACATGATAACAACACAGATGTTTTCAGATATCTCTGCAGTTTGCAAAGAGAAGACAAGCAAAGTAAGGGGAAAGGTCAGGAAGGAAAAAGGAATAACTAGGGGCTCACATTGAAGATACATCTCTCAGGAAGCATATAATGGCTCATCAACAATCAAGTTTGGTAGATGCTTTAAAGGTAGAGCCTACTTCTTGGATGCATTTATTTAGTACATTTGAATATGCAGCTTTGTACTTCCTGTGAAGAACTAGTTGGAAGAGTATCAGATGAGGAGTCAGAGACCAATCCAGGCTGTGGTACCAAACAACAGATTGGTCTGACAATCTTCCTGTATGTTACCAGACAGGAAAATAAGCATAGGAAAGAAGATGGTAGATGTTTAAATGCCTATACATTACAGCAGCAAAAAAAATTGTTTTTCCCTTTGCATTTACATTGAAACTGGATTTTACTATCAGAAAAAAAAAATTGTCATTTATGCTGACGCTTTCCAAACACTCCCAGTATTCTTTTATTCCAAATAAAGTCAGGAATATATTTCCAACCTAATAGTTCTTTTGTGAGGTGATTTTACAAATTTCCCAAAATTTCAGGGCAGCAGCTCTTCACTCAAATGCCTTATATGTATGGCAGTCTCATTCCTGGAGCTAGTTAAAGTCATCTGGCATAACTCCTGTGAAATAGCTTAAGGAAGTTTTGGCACTACAGGTTTGACAGGAAATGGCATTTATGCCCATAGTGGAAGAAAGAATAGAGACAGTTCTAGGAGAAGTGGACAAGGAGGTAGTCAAAGTCACAATTATTGTTGGAGAAAAAGGATTTGTAGTGGGGAGAGCAATTGCAACTGCTGATGACAGTTAATGCAGCAGCCTGTATTGAATAGAAACAAAATATAGGTGTCCATAGCAGCATTTGGTAAGTACATTGTGATTAAGTGCCTCAGTCTTACAATGAAGAACATCATATCTAGAAATTACAAATACTGAATGGTTTGGCAGCTCCCCTACCCTCCAAAGCCAGTCAGTCTCAAAAGACGAAACCCAACATCTCCACCACTTCTGCGTTATACTGCCAACAGCTTAAGATCTATATTAACTCAGAGTGAAAAAAAAAAAAAAACATTTTTATGTTTCTGTAATGTTTCCTTTATGGCTATTTCTTTTCAAATTTGCTGCTTGTTTTCTGGTAAATGTATCCCAGCCTCCACCCAGAAAGGTGATTTCCTTTGCTGGATATAAATTCAGCACTGAAATGCAGACACTTATTGGCTAACTCATGGGGCAGGAAAGCCTGTAGTTTTTGCAAATGTTACTGCCTTATGATGTACTGCTAGTTGCATGTTTTCCTGAAAGGGCTTAGCGACTCATACTCAGCATGAGATTAAGACTTGCTCTGTGCATTTGTGCCGTGCTGCGCATAAGCTGACAAAGCTCCTGGAATATAAAGCATTCAGAAGGGCAATGTAGAGAATGGCTCTAGTTGTCAGACTGGTCTGGCTCGGATTACTTGCTCCATCTATGCAGCTTGAGCTGGTTCCTTGCATTCACTTGATGAGCATTGCACAGCCTGCCTTGTTCCAGTGCAAGGACTTCTGCATTTGCTTTGCATGGACCCAATTTGGATTTGAAATTACAGACAGGCAACTTAACAGTTGCTGGGTTAATTCACAAGCAAAACTGAGAACTGACTGAATACACCAGTATCTCCATAATTAATCTGAACACACCAAAGAAAGCAAATGCACTGTCATGACCTTGGTAAGCAGTGATTCAATACTAGAAGTAAAGTAACTAAGAAAAATGTAAGAGGAGATGAGACTTTCCTGGAAGATAAACTCATGCAAAAACTACATTATAAACAATAGCAGGATAAGATCTCAAAACCCTGGTTTATTCCCCTTGTAGATACTGACCAGTGCCAGATTATCAGAGTCCTATCCTGGTGCATTTGCTTCCACAAAAACAGAATTCTTTCTTTACAAAGAGCTAAGTGAATGGTGAAAATGTCTTTAAAAAAGTCGATTGGGCCCAAGAAAATTTGGAACAAGATGAAATTACCTGACGCACATACAATTATAGATATAATAAGGCCACCAACGCAAAGAATACTGACATGTTACCAGCCAGAGGCACACCAAAGAACTGTCCCACCAGACAAACAAGAGAGTATGCAAAGTGGCCTTCACTGGCATGTGGTATTCTGCTCATGTTGATTTTATTGTGGCCCAAGCCACAAATCAAACGGTTTGAAAGGATACCATTACCAAACAGAAATCAGAACGATCAGCAAGACATGTAAGAGTTACCACATCAAGGATGTAAAGCTCATCAAAAACAGCCTAACAACACATTATTACCTGTTTGACAAAAGCATTTACTAACTGGGAGGTTTATCTGTTGTAGCAAAGCAACCAATCACTTCTTCATTTTGAAAAGTTATGTTGTTTGGACCAATAAGTGGTACCTAATTCTACAGCCATGTGCAGACCAAACATTGGCTCAGAAGAAGACAACCTGGGTGTTTGCTGACACAACTTCTTACACTGGTGATGGCTGGTTTTTGCGGGACTATTCAAGAAACCCCTGAGAAGGAGATAACATATTGCCAGAAATTTCCCTGTGCTGTGTGGCCTGTGCACTTTTAGACAAAAAAATATTTCTCCCTAGGAAAACATGACTGATAGCTCGTATCTCAGGGAGAGACAGTACAAATGCATGGCAAGTAGATAAAGATACATCTTCCAAACACTCTCTCAGCATGCACAGTGTTTGTGGCAAGAAGTTCCAAAGTGCAACTAAGCATGGCATAAAGCATTACCTATCTCCTTTGTTTGACAAAGGAGATAAGGTGTAAAGCATTATCTATCTCCTTTGTTCTCAGTCCTCCACCTACTTATGTTATTTGATGCCTCTTAGCTTTTGTATTAGAGTAAACAATGAGAAGGCACCCTCACCTTGCCAACCAAAATTTTATAGATGGCTATCGTTTGAACTAAGAAGCCTAATCTAGGTAGTCAGGCTTTGTGTCCATACTTAGTCTCAAAGGGTCAATAAATTGGATCATCTTTGTTGCCTCTCTTTGCTCCTTTTTCAGTTTTTCTATACTCTTTTTGAGATAAGGGGACCAGAACTGCACACAGGATTCAAAAAGCATAACTGTCTTACATAAAACCATAATGATGACCTCCATTTGTTCTCTATTTCCTAAGAATAAATCTGTTTTTCACTGCTTCTGAACAATGTGTTTTTACAGATCTACGATACCTTAAAATTTCATTCTTTATTGGTAACAGTCAACTAGAGACAGTCATTAGAGATGACAGATTAGGAAAATATTTTCCTCGTATGCATCATCTTACGTTTCTCTGTGTTGAATTTCCTCAGCTTCCACTCAACTTTGAGCAATCCTTCTGCAATTGTTTGTAGTTGTCCTTGTCTTTAATACCACAAACATCTTAGTCTCATCAGCAAGCTCTGTCAGTTCACCACTCATCCCTTTTCTATGTCATTTTTTAACATATTTACTAGCTTAACTCCTGTAGACTCATACGCCAAGAAAAGGGGAATTTGTGGGAGGAGGAGGTAGGAGAAGAGGTATTTAAATCCACTTCTGCTATTTCGCAATCTTTTGCTATTTCAGGAGTGATAAGGAGCTCAAGAAAACTTCGGAGACCATAACATCTTGGCAAAATGACATCTATAAACATCCATGTTACTTGCAGCCCATACATAGCAATACAAACACAAACTGCTGTCACGTCTCCACTATCAAAGCCTTTGGAGATGTCCTCATGAGATTTAGAGCTGCCATACAGCCCCATCCCAACTTCCTGGCAACAGTCGCCCAGGCAGTCGCTGATCTTTCAGTTCTCCTATATCGGTGTGCCCCTTTTTACAGGTGCGAAGCAGTGGAAGGTTGGGGGTGTCACACACCAACCTTGGTCCAGATACATAGAGCAAAGTGTGACTGGACTATATATACCTCAGGTCAGGTGACTTCTCTTCAGCTTCACATGCCCATGGCAAGCTGCGGCTTTATGAAGGGCAAAAGAAGGTGTCCATGGCCCGCACGAGTTAATTCCACATATGGACAGTTATTTATTGGTATAGATAGATATCTTTCAGTGGTAATACTATAAACAAGACAACCAACACATGCAGAGCATGGCCTTGTCTCCAGCTCTCCAGCTT